CTAGATCACGACTCTTTGCTGGCAGTGGATTAGAAGATGAATATTGCTGTGCAGCTGAATGGAAATGAATCTGCGAATCAACCACTGCTGACGTACTCCCATTGGCCACAAATGATTTATTTATATTCATAAAATACCTTTTCTTCTAATGTTACGCTTGCATCACAGACTGATTTCTATCATATTGTAGCGACCCTGTTCAGCAGTGTGTTCTGTCAGTTTCACGTTAGTCCCCTCACGCTGGCCAATCAGGGGGAGTTGCGGTTCATGCTAGACAGGGGGTGGCCAGTGATTGGGGGAGACGGTGGGAGGCGGGTGTTCCCGTGGTTTTTGGGGGCTAGTGAAGTTTGCTAGCGAAAGTTCTAGGTTGTAGTTATTGCCGACTGCAGGTTCGAGGGAGTGCACCGATAGCGTGGGGTGTATGTATTTCTGCTGCTGGAGAACTAAATAAAGGATTGCTACCAGAACGTCCATTCGCCTGCGTGTGCTGAGTGACGCACTACACCCCGACGCAACAATATTAACGTTCTGTTGCGTCTGCTTTTTACTATGAAAATCTAACGTGCGTACTTCCGATTTAACTGCTGCGCTTAGTATTTTGTTTTATGACGTTAGGTAAAGAATGCATGAATTGATTTAACACAGACCTCATTCAGCTACATAAAAATTCAACGTCACGTTTGATTGCTATGTTTTGGTCTAGTTTTGTTTTTTAATTAAACCGCTGGCGGTGATGCTAACGTCAGCTGACGTCCTCCAGTCCATTCGAACACACACAAAGTAAATCGTCAGCGACTAATAGCGATGTCCAGATTGCACCTTCTTTCACAGTTGAGAAAAAGTCCGATCCAACTTGCGTGACGCATTTCGTAATGACGATAATCGCTCTGACAGTATACAGCTGTCAGTCGGTGACGCAGTCGTCGCCTAGCAACCGTTGCACTTCATCGCATTTATCCTTTAATGTGATTCTCTAGTTATGTAATCTGTCATAACCTGGTCTCACAGCGAAGAGGAGGTCGTAATTTCTGAGAGCTCTGTCCAAATATGCAGAAAAATAGGAATCAAGTAGAAACATCACAGACAGAGAAGATGGAGGACTCAGAATACAGCGTGAAGCCATTTATTGAGTCCTTTTTCAACAGTTTGACACCAGTACAGTGGGAACTGTTGCGAAATGGCTCCCCAGACAGCACCACCAAACTGCTGTTGGCCGATATGATATTAAATATGGTCACGGTCTTGACAGAAGCCATGCTCAACAATCTAAGGAGCAGAAACATGTCTGAAGTCAACGCCGTTGTGGGTGACTGTGTGATACAGGGCTTCAAAGATGTCCTGGAAGTCAAAGGCACAATCGAACATCAGAGCTCAAAAATGTTTACTAGCATGATCAATGAAGAGGTTAAGCTCAGAGTCAGTCCTAACACCTCTGATGGCTTACCGTCTTGGGACATCACTCCACCCACAATACTCAACCAAATGGTTAATCATGCCACAAAAATGCTAAAAAGGTTTACAGCAAAGATGAATCGGAAATTCCAAAGCCTTCCACAACAAAGACAGAGAACCACTTTCAGAGAAGAGTCTTCAGAAACCTCAGACGCTGTTGAGAACCAGGAGAATGTCCCATCAGGTGGCCAGACTGATATGGAAAGCATTCAATCTCCGGAAGCAGTACTTGTGAGGGAGGTGAATGAGAGCATGCTTCCTTTGTTGGACGACATGTCAGACGCTGACTTTCAGAACTTGCAAGTCGACAGCCCCTTGGAAACAACTGTTCCTTCGGGAGTTCTCGAAGAACTGCTGGAATCGGAGGGGACAGACCAGAAAGCACAAGGAAGCTGTGTCAAGGGCTTTTTTACACTGCACTTTAGTAAAACATGGCTAAATCGCATACTGGATCAAATGAAGAGAAAATTCTGGAAGGACTCAGACATGGAATGCAGCCCCATATTGATGAAGGACATAGAGGACATCCTCCCCAAGCTGCTGACATTGGATGATGACGAAGCACAATTTCGAAAACAGAAGTATATGCATCCATTGTTGAAGGGAATTCCAAGAAGCAAATCCCTCACAACGGAGCTGACCAACATGCTCTTCCAACGGATGGTGGGCCGTTTAACGCCCGCCCGGAGCGCATCCTCATCAAATGCTACCATGTACAATGAGATATTTTACAGCGCGTGGAACTACATGGTGCTGTTGCGGTGGTGGCAGAAAACTCAGGTCGCCTCACTGGCTCAGAGGATGAGAAGTGCTTTGCTAAACAGGTCGACACGGACACCGGTTGTCGACTACCAGAGCAGCATTCCTCTAGAGACTCCTGCAGGACCTGCACAGTTTCAAGTAGAAACATCACAGACAGAGAAGATGAAGGACTCAGAATACAGCGTGAAGCCATTTATTGAGTCCTTTTTCAACAGTTTGACACCAGTACAGTGGGAACTGTTGCGAAATGGCTCCCCAGACAGCACCACCAAACTGCTGTTGGCCGACATGATATTAAATATGGTCACGGTCTTGACAGAAGCCATGCTCAACAATCTAAGGAGCAGAAACATGTCTGAAGTCAACGCCGTTGTGGGTGACTGTGTGATACAGGGCTTCAAAGATGTCCTGGAAGTCAAAGGCACAATCGAACATCAGAGCTCAAAAATGTTTACTAGCATGATCAATGAAGAGGTTAAGCTCAGAGTCAGTCCTAACACCTCTGATGGCTTACCGTCTTGGGACATCACTCCACCCACAATACTCAACCAAATGGTTAATCATGCCACAAAAATGCTAAAAAGGTTTACAGCAAAGATGAATCGGAAATTCCAAAGCCTTCCACAACAAAGACAGAGAACCACTTTCAGAGAAGAGTCTTCAGAAACCTCAGACGCTGTTGAGAACCACGAGAATGTCCCATCAGGTGGCCAGACTGATATGGAAAGCATTCAATCTCCGGAAGCAGTACTTGTGAGGGAGGTGAATGAGAGCATGCTTCCTTTGTTGGACGACATGTCAGACGCTGACTTTCAGAACTTGCAAGTTGACAGCCCCTTGGAAACAACTGTTCCTTCGGGAGTTCTCGAAGAACTGCTGGAATCGGAGGGGACAGACCAGAAAGCACAAGGAAGCTGTGTCAAGGGCTTTTTTACACTGCACTTTAGTAAAACATGGCTAAATCGCATACTGGATCAAATGAAGAGAAAATTCTGGAAGGACTCAGACATGGAATGCAGCCCCATATTGATGAAGGACATAGAGCACATCCTCCCCAAGCTGCTGACATTGGATGATGACGAAGCACAATTTCGAAAACAGAAGTATATGAATCCATTGTTGAAGGGAATTCCAAGAAGCAAATCCCTCACAACGGAGCTGACCAACATGCTCTTCCAACGGATGGTGGGCCGTTTAACGCCCGCCCGGAGCGCATCCTCATCAAATGCTACCATGTACAATGAGATATTTTACAGCGCGTGGAACTACATGGTGCTGTTGCGGTGGTGGCAGAAAACTCAGGTCGCCTCACTGGCTCAGAGGATGAGAAGTGCTTTGCTAAACAGGTCGACACGGACACCGGTTGTCGACTACCAGAGCAGCATTCCTCTAGAGACTCCTGCAGGACCTGCACACAACAACCTAGCGTGGGAAAAAGTCAACCTGCAGTCTGATTTCACAGAAAACAACGACAAGGATAAGACATTGGAGTTCCTAATCCAGACGCTGGTCGCTAAGATACTCCAGAAGTGCAAGGTGAACCGCGCCTCAAGCCCCCATGTCTACGTTGAGCCTCTGTTGCAGAGGACGCGGGCCGAGCTGGAGGGCCTCAACTTTAACCTCGACCGAAAAACCCTGAGGCAGTTTAACAGGAACATCTTCAGAGATTTGTGTGAGAAGTGGGGCAGTGCCTTCAACGTGCTGATTGCATTGAAAAGCAAGGACCCGGAACTTGGCGACTGGGTCGCCTCCACCATTAAAGATCGCCTCTTGGCACCACCAGTAATCAACAGGTTCCGTAGGTTCCTATTGGCTGTGGGCCGAGCCATCACCGGCAGGCGAACAAACAGGATACAGCCAACATAAATTGTGTCATACATGCGTAGTTAACTGTAGCTAACATCGCTCCGTCACTCAGTCCCTCTCCTACTCACAAAGCCGGCAATCACCTTGACTACATCTTCATCTACATTTTCTAACCCCAAAAAACTCTTTTTGATCTTCTCCAACATCCTCGAACCCCCTAGCCCACCTCCCCCTCCCCCCTTCTTCCAGATGACTTTGTCAACTACTTTGCCAAGAAAATAGCTGACAAAGGCTCCTCTTTCTCAAACCCACCTCCTACTTCTACGTCCCACTGACTTCACCTCTATCGCCCTCACTTTCCTCTTTCACCCCCCTGTCTCCTAACCAAATTCGTTAACGCTGTGTATAAAGGGCCTTGTAATAACCATTAATTAATAGGTAATAAGGCCCTTGCAAGTCCTTACAAGATACTTATTAACATTTATAAGCCTATATAAGTGTTAATAATGGAATTATGATACAATAATAGCAGGCTATAACACACTTAAAAGCATATTATAAGCATATTTGCCATGCCTTTATTAATCCTGCTACTCACAAATCCAGCCATCACCTTGACGACATCTTCATCTACATTTTCCAACCCCAAAAAACTCTTTTTGATCTTCTCCAACCTCCTTGAACCCCCCAGTCCTCCTCCCCCCTCCACCCTTCTTCCAGGTGACTTTGTCAACTACTTTGCCAAGAAAATAGCTGACAAAGGCTCCTCTTTCTCAAACCCACCAGTGAGTTGTTCATTCCATTATTCCTTTGTTTTTGTGTGGAAGTGCATGTGCGTGTGCGTGTGCGCGTGTGTGTGTGTGTGTGCGTGTGTGCGTGTATGCGTGTATGCGTGTATGCGTGTATGCGTGTGTGTGTGTGTGTGTGTGCGTGTATGCGTGTGTGCGTGTGTGTGTGTGTGTGTGCGTGCACACTCTAACCTGACTGTGTGTTCCAGAACATGGAGATCCAGGGCTTCCTGTGGCTGCTCACTCGGCTCTTCCAGGACTACCGCTGGTGTTTACACATCATCCGCATTCACCCAGAACCGGTGATCCGCTTCCATAATGTCTGTAATAAAAAAATTCTGCATGTGAATATCCCCTCCAGCCAATCACCTGTGTGCTCTGACGAGAGAGGTCGCCATCAGCTTAGTATGTTGTGTGTTCCCGCAGGCGGCCTTCATGGGTCAGAGGTCGCTGATGGAGGACGACTTCCTGATGAAGATGTTGGACGGCATGACGCTCGCAGGCTTCGTGTCGGAGGTAAAGTTAAAGTTGATTTGAGCTTTTTTTGGTGTTTATCAGAATGTCATTTTATCTCTATAAGGAAACAGGCATTAATTGATATCTGCTGTCGGTAATCTGTTCATGGAATATATTTACAACCAAATCAACATTCGTCCTTTAAATTAGAAATAAAGCCAAAGTTAATTAAAAAAAGATTGTAAACGTTTAAATACTAAAAATCCACTTTATTGGGTTTTATCCAAGATCTCTAAGCAAGCTGTTCAGCGTGGAACATGAGGTTTATATATTTTACACAACACACCTTTAAAGACAACATACATGAGCTCAATATGCAGGTCGTCAAGCTCAAACATTGTTAATTGTGATTCAGCCCACAAAGAGCAACTGTTCCCACGTTATGGCGCGTTTCCACCGAGCGGTATGGTACGGTACGGGTCGGGTCTGTTAACCATGATTTGTCAAGCGTTTCCACCGCCAACAGTACCCTTACTTGATAGGCGTGGTGTATTCCAGAAAGTAGTGATAACGTCACTTGTTAGGCGTGATATATGACGGAAAGTAGATTGACATCATCCGATCGCGCAAAAACTGAAAGCTAACCGCAAACAACAATGGAGGACATACAGCCGATCCTGTTCTTGTTTCTCGATATGTGGCTGTTTGTCACAAGGAGACGACAATCTTTGTTTGAGCAAAGGCTACATGCTGCAAGGAAAAACACGTGTGTTGTCTTTCCACCAATCAACCAGTACCGTACCAGACCATACCGCTCGGTAGAAATGCGCTATTAGATAATCCCCTCGGAACTGGTGGCTGGAGTGTGTGACGGCTTCATTCGAACACTGCTTTGCTTCCAGCTCAGGCGGGTCTGTTAGAGTTTGGAAACCCTGTTAATTGTTATTACAAGGACCTTAATATAAAGCGTTACCCATCAATTTATTCTTCAGTCAACAAAATTACAAAAAGGACATCTGCAGTTCTTCAGACTGTTCTACCAAAAACAAAAACGCCAAATTGCAATTGATCATTTAACGCAGGGTTTGTCATTGCACAACGTAAAATATAACTTCTGATTTCTTTTCCTTTCTCGTTTTTTCCATTATAAACCTACACACAATTTCCCAACGTGAAGCCATTCAGGACTGGCTGCTTTCACAATAGGTTTTTCATGCTAAATCTTGCTCTGTGCATCAAGTGCTTTTAAAAGCTCCATCGTGTGGAGGAAACTAAAGAACCTTTAGTCCCTGCAGTCTGGCCCCTAAGAACTGCTCTTACAATACCGGTTGGCCAGAATAGCAGCCTTAGCTTAGCGGTTGTGCCCCTGCATGACATGAAAGGTAAAGAGGCTGTCCACTGGCCTTAGGAGCACTTCAAAAAGCCCAAAGCAGTGTGAGCGGGAGCAGAAGTGACAGACACACACGGGGGGGCGAGGGCGGCAATGGCCCGTGTGTGCGTGCGTGGGCGTCCGTGCACCGCGGCGGCATAGGTGCACGTGTGTTTGCGTGTGCTTATGCATGTGTTATTTGTGTGTGCTGGATGAGGGGAGGCCTATTAAAAAGCTGCCTGAGGAGAGGGCTTTCAGTTGGGAATTTATAGGGGGGCAGAAAGGATGGCAGGGCCATTGTGTGTCAGGGTTCCATCCTGAGAGCTGGAATTAGAGCCTTTTCTCCTCCGCTCGGCTGTAAGACTCTGTACCACCACGACCCCGTGTTTGATTAGAGCCGCTCTGAGGAGACGGCCTCCGGAGGAGGAGGAGGAGGAGGAGGGAGGAACGACGAGCGGCGAGAATAAGAAAGAGACACACGACGAAAAATAACATCATCGTCGGTGGAAAGATGGGGAAAGAGAAAAGGAAAAAATTGGATTCACACAGTTTGGCAATGCTGTGCAAGTCTGATTGGAAGTGTAATGAGGTGAACGACAACAACGTGATGTGAAATATTACAAAGGTTATCCCCGACGGTGTCATGAGAATCTCTGTAGCGTCCCGCTGATTGGAAACAGCAGTTAATATGACAAAGTTTCACAGGGTGCATTTGACTTTCAGTTCGATTAACTCCCACCCTCTCGGGTCTCCTCACATAAACAATGTCGAGCAGTGCATGGTGCGCATTTGTGGAGGTTAAAGCCCGATCCAATTAGGTAAACAAACATTAATGGATGATAATGAATGTGAGCATTATCTCCAAAGAGGAGTGGCCATTAATATTAATGACTGTTTTTACTCCGAAGCATTAAAAACCAAAGCGACGTCAATATTTGCCAGAGAAAATGAGCGAGAGAATGTACATTCACCAGTGATTGGATAACCAGATGGATAGATAGAGGGGATAAACACAGGCTGTTGATGATGTCTCCGTTTAAGGCTTGTAAGGTTCATTTATGTTGAATGGATTTGATTGTTACGGGTGGTAAACAACCTTCATTCCAAAGCAGCTAATTCTGCTAAACAGTTAATGCCTTTAAAGCCTGCTGGTAAAAGGGTTTGTCTTGTTTGTTCACCGGCGGAGCAGTCAAAGGGGATGTCCAATTAAAAAGGGAGATAATACCGGATGTCGATGTAAACTGCAGATTTGTAGTGTGTGTGTGTGTGTGTGTGTGTGTGTGTGTGTGTGTGTGTGTGTGTGTGTGTGTGTGTGTGTGTGTGCTTTTAAACTCCCACCAGACAAGCCTCCTCCTGAAGTGATGTTGATGATGGATTTTCTGGGACTCCCATGTCATAACAGTGTAAAGCGATTAAATGGGAAGAAAGGCCTATCATGGGACATCACAGGACTGGGTCTAGTGCACAGTAAACACACACACACACACAGACACTCGGCACACAAACACACTCCCCTAGCGTGAGGTGTGTGTTAACCCTGGCTATATTTGGGCTTTCTCTCTCCAGTGTGTCTTAATCCTGCTGTCTGCCGCGTTCCACCTGATTAGTCTGATCATTCACTTCTGACAGGCCCATTTCTTAACCCTCAATGCGAACGCGCATGCACACACGCGCACACGCGCGCACAGGAACACACATAATACATCACACACATCGACAATCTGACTCGAAGGGCGAGGAAATAAAAGCCCGAGGAGAATGAAGCATTGGCCCCAGTCAGTCACAAGGAAAATATCCCATCATAGCCCTCAGTTACCATCGTCACACATCACTTCTCATGGCCCGTCGCAAACACTGGCTCATTTAGTGTGAGGCGCACGCACACCACACACACACACACACACACACACACACATGTAAATAAGCCCGATCAACGCATATAAATATCCCTCAGGAAAAGGTTTCTCTTTCAAAATGAATGCCACGCACAGTACTTTCTCCTGGGGGATTTTGGCGCAGATAGACAGGCAGGTTGGAACTCGAGGAGGCCAGAAACGAATGCAAATGTGAGGTTCGGCTGTGGGGCAGTAGCTGGGTTTCCCTCACAATGCCTGAACAATGTGGTCCTTCCCCCCCGCTGAGATCTAAAGCGGTAATCAAGAGGCGTGCAGAGCAATGGCGACTGTCCCTGTGTGGGGGACCCTTGTTGTCTCTGACTGACACCCTCGAGCTGCAGATAAGAGTCACCGTAGTGTGTGTGTGTGTGTGTGTCTGTGTGTGTTCATGCATGCAGGTAAAGGAAGTGTATTCCTCCCCCTCCTGGTAAGCCATATCTCTCTCTCTCTCTCTCTCTCTCTTTGTTCCTCCCCCTCTCATTGATCCTGTATTTCAAGCACTTCCTCGATGACCGACCTGCCGTCGTTGCAGCCGCGGTGGATTTATCCGAGCTCGCCGTGTCTGAACTCGTTGGGAACATTCCGCTCAGTGGCAGTAAATTACATTTATTTACAAGGCAGATCCAGAGAAAGAGGAAAAGAGGTGCGAGTGTGGGTGTTTTATCCGTGTTAATGTTGAGCGTGTCCAAACCAAGTTGCTAGCACGTTATAATGAGGCACCTTTTATAACAGGTACACAGGTTGAAATAAATATCACTGTTGATAATAAACTTGTTTATCCCCTTCCAGCCTTACACCTGTTTCATCTCGTTTAAGCATCACCTTACTGGAATAGTTGGATATGTATTTCTGACAGATCGGAATAGATGACAGGATTAATACCATCGTTATGTCTGTGAGATAAATATGTAGTAACTGAGCTTAGTTTAGATAAAAGTAACCCAGGCAGAAAGCTGTGACTAAATCCTCTAAACGGAACACCTTATTCTGAGTTGATGTAATATGTAAATACAGTATTGATTAATAACCAAATGAATGCAAATCTTCCATTTCTAAGGCTGAAACTGCTTCTTCCTCTTTCCCCCTGTTTCTAGTCTTTGTGCTAAGCTAAGCTAGCCAGCTGCTGGACGTAGCCCCGTGGGTAAAGAGAAGCTCTGTACACTGTAAACCCGGATTTTGTTTCTAATTAAACTTACGAGTGATCATTACTTATTCTTTTATGTTTAGTAAAAACCTGCTATCATTACTAAACAACATTAGTTGTTAGTACTAATTAGCTGAAAAATTCATTGCACTAATCATTTTTAGCACAGATAACTCGGTATGTTTACTTTTGCAATAAAGGGGAGGGGCTAATTCAAAAAGCTGCCTGGTCACGTGACCAGACCAACGTCTAACGTGCGTCCAAGGGGCTCTTCACTTGGCGGGACGAGCACAGGCATCGGCAGCAGACGGAATCCAAGAAAGCAACTTTACCACCTCGAAGTGGAATGGTTAGTATGTAAAATAACTATTGTAGCCTAGTTATCTTTGTGGGAATGTTTAATACCCAAAAGCTTGCAGATAATTTGACGCAGCTTTTATTTCCGTCTAATGTTAATGTTTGAACCTGTGCATGGTGTTAATACATGCTTATTGCTAAAACTAGCTAGCTAGCTACTCAAAAAGTGTTAGCTGAACTTAAAGTTAACTTAGTGTTAACAGTCTGAGGACGGCTCACATACCGTTAGTTTGTTCGACTGTATCACTTATTCAACCCTTCATTTTACGCAATAGAAAAACGATTCAACCGCTGTCGGGGCAAATTACATCCGCTGTGGAGGTGTTTAGCTACACCCGAGCTACTTGCAGCCATTGATTCACTGGTCGCTCTCTTTTCCCCCCTCACTCTCTACACACTGGCTGCGTGGCGTGTCTGTTTATAGTTAAACGGTTAGAGCTTACACACTGCCTGCCAGAAACAGGACCGACGGCTATTTCACGCCACACGCAAGCATTGGAAGCGTTTCCAGGCTAAATTTTATATGAAAAGATATATTAGTATATTTCATTTTGACATGAATACTAATTAATAAATGGCATGTTGATGTTCGAAAGTCTCGAGTTTATGACATAAATGCAGATATACAAATGTAATTTAAAAAACAAAAAGATGATCGATTTTCAAATATTGCACCTGTACAGAATGCAATATACTGTAGTGTATTTACCGTCAATACTGCCGACGTTGTCTTTGCTGTAATCAAATCAGTATATATTTATGTGTAACATGAAGTATACTGCTTGAGTGCAGTAAATCAATGGGAAACATGCATGTGTCCAGACAAGGCTAGCAGCAGGCCCGCGTCAGGCACGTTTCTGGTGTGAAAAGACAGAAAAATCCACGCAACTGACATGCAACAGAAATGCCACGCCGGCAGTGTGTAACCGGCCTCACACACGCTTGTTTTCATGCCGGTTTTCTCTGTAACACAGGTGTTGTTTCGGTTTTATTACCTTATTGTATTTAACAGTGACATTGTTGTGCTGAGTTGTTGACCTAAACAGTTTCTTGTTTTACAGATTCTTGTGGTGTGAGGATGCTGTGGAAGTGTAAGTACTGTGAGTTTATCTGTGAGAAAAGGGGTTACCTTTTAAAACATTATCGGTTAAAACACGGAAACTATGGTAGAACTGTCCCATTTCCCTGCTTACACCAACAATGTGTGTGCATTTGATCAGGCAGCCCTGGAGGCCTGTAAAGACTTGGTTGATGAAATGCAGAAGAGAACACCAAATGGACCTCTTGTGAAACAGAAGATGGATCAGACGTTTGCTCTGAGAAGAAAAGAGGTAGTGGAGTCGGAACCTGCCATAAGCACGATGGTGAGATGCTGGCCTGCCCTTTTCACTGAATATCAAGTATGTTTAAGAAAGAGAACATAACAAATAATTATCTATTATATAATGTGTCTAGATGTATATTTCTCTTGTCCTCTTCAAAGGAAATATTGGTATTCTTAATTTGGGGCATGATGTTTTTAATTTAAACATCAACATTTCAAATTGTATAAAAAGGACATTCATGGATGTTTTTCAGGACAGCACTACTTCGCAGATGGCTTAGCTGCCTTGTATAGTTCAGTTGATCTAAATTCAGATTTTTATTGTTCTCTGTATTTTTCAGGTCTTCATGGAGTTCAGCAGGATTGTGGGCAAGAACCTCAAGACGGAATTCTATGAGAGCATCGACCGGCACAGTCATCGTCTCCTCGAGTTATTTGGATCCAAGAGAGGGAATGTTGGACAGACCAATGTAAGTCCATACACATTATGTACTTGGCATTGTTTTTCTTGGGTTAGGTATAAACATCATATCACTATGCTACTCTATTAGTTGCATAATTCTATCCAAACATTGCTCGGCCTGTTTAAGATTTCTTAGAGATCATTATTTGTTTTTCATTTGAGCTATCTAACTTGTGGTACTGTGTTTAATTCCCAAAAGACTACAGAGCCAACTGAGTGTCAGAGGGCTTCCTATCATCCTGGGGACAACCCCACAGACTTCTTCAAAGGAGGCTTTGTAAGTAAGCTCTTGCTTTCTTATCATTTTTAATGAAAGTTTTTTTTCAACTGAGAAATAGAATGTAATGAGTGGGCTCTTCTGTTTTTCTTTATTTAGGAATCTGACGATGAGGATTCTTTTTGTGACCCAGACATTGGGATACTTCTTATTGAGCGTAAAGGTGCTGTGCTCACATCCTCCCAGCATCTCAGTCCAGCCTCGTTGGAAATCATCATTGAGGGAGAAGTCGTGATGGACAACATTCAAGATCTGCCAAAAGCAATGTGCATTCTGTTTGGACTCATGTATGCACTCCATCTTAACTACCCCAAGACTATGAAGCTCACATTTCAGTTCATCCAACAGGTATTGCTCTTGTTAGGCCACACTGACCTAAAGCCAAAGCTACAGACTTTGAAAAATCAGCTCGCAATGTAAAGAGATGTCAAGTCTACTTTTAAGAAACTGTTGACTATTTTTTTTTTCTTACCTGTGGGGTTAACCTTCTTATTTTCTGTAAAACAGGTGGACAAACAGACGCATAAAACGCACACACACACACACACACAGACACATACAACACCCACAAACAAAACTGACACACCTATACACATATTTTGTGGGAAGCGTGCCAAAGGATGTGACTTGTGTGACAATTTAAACTGAGCGGAGTTGTAGCGGAAAGACATAGGAGATTGTTATATTATATACATGTTTCAGTTCTTCATCAGTCTATGTAGATGGAATTAGATATTGTTCTGATATGATAGTCTGTTGGTTCATGCTCTGGCCTCCCTTCATTGAGGCAGATGAAACAGATCCTTTTTGTGATTAGCTGTGTTTGGCCATTTTTCTTAAAAGTAAAATGCATTGGAGCATTTACAGGTGTTTCTGTTTTTTTTATCCAATTTAATTGAAACAATGTTTAATAACGTATTTAAAAACCAATCAAAAGCAAATTAAATTAGAGGAAAATACAATAATTGTGTTAAATGATGAGTAGCAATAACAAGTCATAATAGCTAGTTTTATCTAATGATTTTGAGTACACACTACTAATAAATATAAATACTAAACTTAAGGTTCCACGTTAATACAACGCAACATGTTTAGTTTCAGCTTGTATAAAAACGTATGGTTCCACGTTAATACAACGCAACATTTCTAGTTTCAGGTTGTGTAAAAACTTAAGGTTCCACGTTAATACAACGCAATATGTTTAGTTTCAGCTTGTATAAAAACTTAAGGTTCCACGTTAACACAACGCAACATTTCTAGTTTCAGGTTGTGTAAAAACGTAAGGTTCCACGTTAATACAACGCAACATTTCTAGTTTCAGCTTGTGTAAAAACTAAAGTGGGATAGGGCAACGGGTTTCCACGCGATTCGCGAGTAGAGTCAACTAATTCGGGTTTACAGTGTAGAGGATGAGAAACTAAACTACTCTGATCCTCAACAGTTGGACAATTTAACTTATTGAAAAGAGATGAAAGGCATCTGTACCAGAAATGCATTCATTAAAAGCCTACTGATATTTACTAGTGTTGACGCAATGTTTCTCATTTTCAAAAAATCCATCATGTCTGCAGTTATATATGGTAATACGTTATTAATAAAAGGCTTTTGAACACAATCCATCATGTCTGCCTTTTTAAATGTTAATTTGTTGTTAATAAATGGCCTGTGGTCCGGATGCTCAGCGATCAGTCTCCCTGATGAACTAGAGGACGCGCTGAGAATAAATGGCAAGTGCCATCTGCAGATATACATTTTACACCCCTCGCAACCCAGAAGCTGTTTCCTATTAGCTTTTGTAATCCCGACAAAGGGTGACCTCATTAGACAATGCAAAAGGAGCAAGAACGTCATGATATTCACCTGGCGGCATCCTGGCCTCACCTGAGCCACGGAGGCCGGCTCGGTCTAGACCACACAGGGAACTCTCACAAAGGGCCCCGGCTGCGGTCTGAAGAGGCTGAAAACAAACAAAACGTCCTCAATTGATTCCCTCTGTCTCCGTCATCAGCGTAACAATCCTCTCTCCCCGCCCGAGGCCGAGGTCCTCTTTGTTACGCGACGTCACGCCGTGCTCTAGATGACCCCACCTGAAGCCGGGGGCTCGTATCCATGTCCCGTCTCCATGCCCCCCCCCCACACACACACACACACACACACACACACACTCTGGCCACGGAGAGCGGCTATCCCGTTGCTGTGTGAAAGAAAGCTTGGCTGGTCTGTAACTCATGCCCGCACATACATAAAGTCAGGACAAAGGCTCCTATTCTCCGAAAGCAACAACAACACCTTTTGTCTTCGCTTACAAAAGAAAATACATTGTTTGCATTTGCAAGCAAGAACTAAAAAAAAAAAAAGTTGCAGTGTGAGGGTCACAAAGACAGGCCGTAACAAATGTTAACCCACGGAATGATAACATATTAGTTCGTTTTTGGTGACATGAACATTGAAACAGCACTTTAACTGAGTCTCTCTGAGTGAGAAGGTATATTATTTTATTAGTTGATTTGTGCTGTTTACATTGTCTTAGCGTGCAAATCCGGGCAGGAAGACAAAAGAAGGCACACCTAGAATTATCAATCGGGATCTGAGCTCAGCGTCGGGTTTCCTGCATTGCAGGTTCCCTGAATGCCATCTGGTTGGCAGTGGATTTAAAACGGTTAAGAAACGATTATGCTGTTTCCATATACAGAATATGGAGGTGGGGCAAAACAAAAAAATATAATAGTACTCTTATTATTAGAAGTGATAAAAGAGCATGAGCTGATCTACATGAAGAACAGATATGAGTCAAGAACACAAGAAGTGGAGGTTCTCATTGTGAATTAACCCACTGGTTTGTGAACTGCCGTTTGAGGTTTGTCATTTTGGGAGACTTTGGTCTCGTTTGCAACCAGTGAGGACGGGAGGAGCTGGAGTTGAGCACAACCAAACACTGAGTGAGATATTTTGCATCAACCAAAGTGTTAGAATTAACTTTCACAAGCCAATTCTGAAAATTACTTCTATTGTGGCCGAGTACAATATACATATTAACCCAACACTGGAGCATCTAGATGCAAAGGTTTGTGAGCGCTGTGCATGATGATACATGTATCCTCTCTGGAACCAGTTCCCACTGCCGCTAATGTCTACTTGTCCTCCAGATTCAAACAGAGCTGCAGCCTCCTTCCAACGCTCCCACGTCATTGTACCGTCTCCCCCTTCTCGTTCCCGTCCACTTTCCAAAGTATATTATTTTACAAATTTACCTCTATATAGCAACAGAAGCCAGCGGACAAAACCCGCCCCGGCGTGGTGACTTGGTATGGATGTAAATGCAGGGAAACATTCGTAAAGGAGACACATGTGGATGAACTAGTAAACACACTGGGAATAATGTGTGGTTTAGCAGAAGTGGACTGCTTACAAAGACAAATATTTCCTAAGATGTCAAGTATAGTGCACTATATAATTCATCAAACCAGCCTTAAAATAGCCAGCCGTTAACTGAGCTCCAGCCTGCAGCTTTATCCTGAAGACGGAGGTTATTACTTTGATAAGAAACCCTTAATTGGAGCATAGTCCAGTGGCAATAATTTGCCTGGTGCGCTCAACATTCAAATGGCGGCGAATAGCTCGCGTCACCGAGCTGCGAATATAATGAGTCTGCTTTGAGAAAATATTTGGCTAATTGCTTCTCATTAATCTCTTAATTAAAGAAATGATGATCATCCACCCTAGTTATTCATTTTGGTCTTATATTTCTAGAATCAAATACCTAATCCACACATAAATGCAAAAAGGAGCAACATTAAAATACTGACATGCTACAGGAAGAGGATCTCTTAAATTGTAGCGGCTATTTCTTTAAAAATGCAGCTGAAGTTGAGCCACGTCCTGGCGTACAAAAAGGAGGACACACCTTCGAGTGACTATTGTTGGCGAGCCAAATGGCGGCGGCCGAGGCTCGTGGACCAGGCCGCCCAGGCCGGCCTGGAACAGATGGACGGAGTGAACGGGTGGCGTTGACAGCGCGTGCCGGGCGCGAGAAAGGCCGCTCAGAAGGACGACGCGGGAAGAAACGGAGGACAACCTGCAGCTTCCGTTCCGCCACTCTTGGCAGATGCAAACCCAGCACACATCGGCCCCTCCGATCCCCACGCGGGGGGCCTCTGTTGCTCTTCTCTTTGTCCTGTTTGTCTCTTTGCAATTAAACAAACGGGTCATTAATTAATCGCCGCAGGCAACGGGACACGAGAGGAGTTAATCAGACTGGATGGATGGACTGCTGGGAAACAAACACGCATGACCACTTTCACAAACTATTGACATTTTTGAGAAGTGAGCCTCCGGTAAGACGGGCGTGAATAAAATTACAGAAAATAGCGGGACTTGATGAAAAGCAGCTTGATCATTGATTGGTGTCGTCAAACTGTGCTGAGTGGCGGTTTCTTCCTGAGAGGAAACTTTGGTTGAAGCTTCGCCTCTGGCCATCGACACTCGGAGGAAGACAAGAGGAGCTTTTTTCCAGCTTGCGATGGCACACAGCTCACAGCCGCTGAGCCCGCTGACGAATCATTCACGTGAAGTACGTACAGATTGACGACTATTGATGGGAAAGCCACGCAGGAATTGGTTGGATTTATACTTTAAACATTGTTTTTGGGCTGACACATCGCTTTGGAGACAGAGGCTGATCACTCTGATGTATTGGAGTAACAACCGAGATAATTATTACGAGCACAAATGTTGGTAATGTTTGGAATCTGCACCAGCAGGAGAGAATTCCAAACTCAACACAAACCCAACCGGAGCATCACAAGGGAAAAGTTTTCCTTGATTTAACATAATGCTCTATTAATATTTCTCCAGTAGATGGCAGACTTTTAATCATTGCGGCCCACTTGGCTTTAACTGCGAACTACAAAATGAATAATGGGTTCAATGGTAGAAGCGATGGAAAAGAGCCAACAAAAGGCCCACTTTTTCACACCTGTGATACGTCCTCCTGAGCGGACACTTCCTTCCTCTGTCCATTGAGTCAGAGCGGAAGAGGTGTTCCTTCTTCAGACATCCTCTCTGCTCCTTTAACCTCCCACGTCTGCCCTTCCCATGTCTGTCAGCATGAAAAAAGAGCAACGGGGGGGTGAGCTGGCCGACATGTCAAAGGACAAGACAGCACCGGGCGGTAACAACAATGAGAACAGGATGCCGCTTGTTCTGTCCAGTGCACTCAGCGCTATCTGATTCTCCAGAGGGGCAACAAGAGGAAGGAGACGTTGACGACGTCGACCTTAAGCTAACGGACCCACCTGGATCAACCTGAAACCCGCCGTAATCGGGGAGTTATGCAGAAACCGGTCGGTCGATTTTTTTCTTTTTTGGCATAAGAAAATGCTGGAATTGAACATTCCTGCAAAAAAAAGCTACTGATTTTATTTCATAACAGATCCAAAGTCTCCCTCATAATGTGAACGGATTGGCCAAAAGACATAAACCCTACTGGGACACAAATGAGTCGAGACTAGTATACCCTAGGAGGAGGAATGCACATCTGTCAGCCATAGAATTTGATCTAACAGCAGCAAGAGAGTAGAAAAAAGAAAGTTTAATGCTATACTCACCCACTAAGTGGATTTATTCATTTCTTACTGCACTTTTGGAATCAAATTTCCTCCCTTCATTAAAGCAATTACTCGGACTGTCTGGGGCAACAGAGCCTGAGACCAGGCCAACTACTGTAATTGAGTTAGAAAGACTTTCTTTCGCTGTCTGCTGCAGCTGCTCAGCAGAGAGAGCACACGGACAGACGGATGGATAGACAGATAACTTCAGCTCGGTCATTAGAATAAAGCATTTATTACTTTGTGGTTCCACTAAAGCAAGAAATGCAATGAGGCGACTGGAGCCCGTGAACTCCTGGACCTTTGATTTAAGAGGCTGGATTCAAATGAATTGTGCATAAGGATTTTCCCCACCAGGTGGTGGTGCAGGGCAACCATAAACATTCCCGGGGACAGATGGAGACAAGGCGAGCACGGCCCTGCAGGCTGAACATAAAGCAACGTCCCTCATGTTTATTTAAGCACAAACGGAGCCCTGCCTCTTGCATTCTTCTGTTCGGTCCTCGGGCTTATTTGTCGCCCCAGCAAACACAAGATATTAGGAGCAGATAAGCTCGTAAGGCCACTACGGTGGTTAATTCCACTCTTTGATGCCTATCTGGAACCGAAGGTCAAGTGTGGTGTTAAGAGTGCAGCCACAGACTAGTATGCCGTTAAATGAAAACCTTCTGACTCAATTTTCTCTTTAACAACTGCAATAAATCAGAGAAGCGCCACCGCTGAGACGAGCGCGCCTCTGACCCGGGGCTTGCCAGTTTGTTTCCAGCCTGGCCAGTTAGTTCAGTATTGATTCTCTGTCTTTCTGTGATACCACTATAACCATCTGACCTATGAATGCTGAGCTCACAGAGCTGGCCTAACAATCCACAGCACACCGCTCTGAGAGGGAGGGGGGGGACGCCAGGACTCCAGACTGTAGCTTTCAGTAAAAACCTCTGCCATCGACTCGTGCTCTGTACCTGCTTCAGCTTGTACACCTTTATTCACACCCTCCGACACGTGCATCAACCCCTCCCGACACACACATGCGTTTTTAAACTCTCATGGAGCACCTTGCAGAGATTGTGAGACTTGGCAGGCAGTCAAAATGATTTTTTTCTGTTTAAAAATGAAACGATTGAAGGGCTTTCAAAGGAGGGAAGAATTGGCAAACATGGCAAGGGGGCCAGTGCCTAAGAGCCTCTGACCACAGGGGCCTCAGACCTAGATAAAATGGAGGCAGGGCACCTTGGCACAGGGGTAATTGTTACAAATCTCAAACATGGAGGATGATGCAGAGTAAATATATGATAGTCCAATAAGTAAGACCTCTTAACGGAGCTCGAAACAAAAGGAAACAGTATTGGATGTGCATATGCTTTTCAGAATTTGCTTTTAACTTGTGAAATGTTGGATTCTTTCAGGCCTCTAAAGAATCGCATGAGAAATATCCCTCTCTGGCTGATCTGCTCAAATCCTGAGCTGATGAGTCACAAGTGGACATTACTTCATTTCAAGAGGACATTGAAATGTCCACTGACATTAAAAGGAAGTAATGTCCACATGTGACCCATCAGCTGTTCACGCCGGCCCAAAGTCCCGACTGACCCCGAAAATGTGTCCAGACATCAAAAGCGGTCCGCTGCTTCTTAGACTCTATGGGAGGATAATAAAAAGTATTACTTCCAGTCCACTGCCATGCAGCTGCATATCTGTGCTTGCTCCGGCAGGCCCCGCTTATGTGATGAAATGATCATCCGGCTCAGGATTGGCTCCCACCTGTGTGGAAGTAATTACAGTTTCACTCCTCTCCCACAGTTATTGGGAGCGAGACCATAACTCTGAAAGTGAGAAACTACCTACACTTTGACCTGCTTGATGGATAGCAATACAGCTGCACATTCACACGGGTCCACAACCATCTATTTCCCCTCCACCAACAAACACAGGCGCAGAAACAACATACTCAGAAAGGACATATGCTCGTAGTTTCGTTTAGGCCTCATTTTGAGGGATTTATTGCACTCTAATAAACATCAATGTGATTTAATACAGCAAGTGATATTCATTTTTACGGAACAATTTAAGACTGGAATCTGTAAAACAGTAGTGAAAATGATCCAATATAGAAAAATATATTAGTTGCTACAATCAGCAAATTTCCACCAGAAAAAAAAGGTCATTAAACAATTCTTGAGGATTATAATTTACTGGGGGACACACTACATCTGAGAATGGCAAGAATCTTCCATAAGCCATGCGAGAGTTCAGAGGTAGACCACAGAAATGAAACAAACACCATTCCAAATAGTTCAAAGGAAGGTCCTGGAAGACCAATTCAAGAACAGCTGTTTGTGCTCGCACGTCTGTTTCAAGAGGGGAGTTCCTCAGAACTTGACATGATAGATAAATAGATCTCAATATATGTCATTTCAAAATCCATTACACACTAAATGTATTCACCCCATTCAACAGTCAAGATTAAATATTTGGGAGGCGTATCATCCACAGTTCTTGTGACATTTATTGCATTGCCAAATTCCCCAATGTTTCTTGGTGTTGAACAAATTATCAAGGACCCTAAAAGCTGTTGTTTAATTTTCCTTTCATAAGAGTCCCGGCCCATCAGGTGATGTTATTCACTCGTCGTCATGCAATGAGTCTCACACTGCATTCCCTGTACAGGGTGTGTTCATAAGGAAGAGCTGTGTGTACTTGCAACCTGACAACAAAAACACATCATTAAACTCCTATTTAAATAAAGCAGAAAAAGCCAAATTATTCCAATGTATTAAATTCAGGGAAATAAATTGTGCATTTGGCCATGTGAGCACTGCAAGACATCAAGCTTATTGTCGATGGAAATTTGGCCCGGGGTAAAAACACCTATTCAAATGTTCTACTGCACTCGCCTGACCAGTGCTCAGCTGTTGTGCCCACTATGCAAAGCAGACATGTGACACTGGCATTCCCCCACGAAATTCTCAGTTGTTGTTTTTTATGAACACACCCCATAAGTACACACCTGCACCAAGACAGAGGACAGGTAGTGCTATCCAAGCTAATTACACAACGTCCATTAAAAATAAAAATATCCGTGGAATTTTTTTGTATAATATATTTCAGCTCAAATCTCCTGTTGCAACAAAGACAGATTCCATTGTGCTGGTTCAGCGTATCCCAGAGAAATACCCATTTGTCCTGGTCTGTTGGTGTTCTGTTCCCATTGCGGTCGTTCATCTTCTCCCAGCCGCCGAGTCCTCCTCGAAGGCCCTGTTGTCATAGTGATGCTGAAGGCTGTCCGGGTCGGGGCCTGGCCGGTCTGCCAGTGGGACCTCGTACATGGGTTCTCCTCCTGCCACCGTGATCACAGTGACCTCTGGTGGTGACTCGGCAGAAAGGCTCCCTTTTGTTTCCTCGTCAACCCCCAGGGCCTTCAGGATGTCGCACTTACACATGGGGCAGGTCCTCCTCTCCAGCAGCCAGGGCTCGATGCAGGCTTTGTGGAAGATGTGGTCGCACGTCAGCACCGTCACCACATCCCCTGCCTTGTAGGACTCGATGCACACGGCGCACACGTGAGAGTCGGAGGCCGTTTCCTCGTCCGACGCCTTGAGTTTGCGCACCTGCAGGCGGCCGATCGCCCGCTTGGCCTCCGACTTCAGCCTCCTGTCGGCGCGCCTGTGCGCGTTCAGACTGTAGAGCCGGTTGGCGGAGATGAACACAAAGTAGGCGATGGAGGCGGCCGTCACGATGAAGAAGGCGATGGAGAGAAAGTAAAGCCAGTACGTGTCCATCCAGGGTCCGTGAGGGCTGCCTACATCGATCTGCATCATCACCTCTGTCCCGTTGCTCACCAAACGCACAATCTCCAGGCCCTGCGAGTTGCCAACCATGATGGCCACAATGTCGGCGGCGTCCCAGTGCCCCATGTGAGTGGTGCTGTTGCCGCTGCCGTCCATGTTATACACGACCACGGCGTCCGCGCCTTGGCGTTTGGCGGCGTTGATCTTCTCGCTGAAGGTGCAGTTGCCCCTTTTAACCAGGGCTATCCAGGGCGGGTTGCTGGAATTGCGATTGTAGACGGTACCTGAGCTGCAGCCCATGGGGTCTCCCTTGGGAAGGGTGACAACGCCCTCGGCTTTCACCAGGAGAGAGTTGCGACCGTACACGCCGCACTGGCAGTACTTGTCCACAGTCCCGTTCTTTCCGTCAGAGTAGGTCAGCTCCACCACGGCCGTCCAAAACAAAAAGGAAGCCGAACAGCGAGCGAGCCCTGACAGACACAGCAAAAGCAGCAGGGAGCGTTGAGTCTTCTTACCCATGGTAACGCTCGTCTGAAAAACAACACGTAAGCCCTTTGTTAGCTTCTTCAAAAACTTCAGCTTCGTTGGTCCCAGTTCCTGGTTTGTGCGAAAGGGACGGCGGTCTGAAGGAGTCTCTGGTTTCACCCGAGCCGCGGTCGCCTGTAATCTGATATGAGCCTTTGGTAACACAACACAAGCTATGCGTCAGCCACTCACCTCTCGTTATCTCCCTGAACCTTGAACACTGAGCACTCCCCTTAGAGGGCAGGGTGCTGGTATTCAGCGAGTGGAAGTGCACGAAACACACCGACCTAAAACACACCAACCTGCACTGTTTTCAAGCAAGAAAGCAAGACGCGATAAGCAGATGATAAGATTTCGTGGACAATCCTGTAAAAACTAATAAAAGTTGCTAACTCTCCCTTGTGTAATGATGAGCAAAGCAGCTTAACCAGTTTTGCTGGATTTGCTTGTTTCCTTCCCCTATTTCTGTGCAGGAGGTTTGAAAACTAAACTTACAAGTTTCACCCCTCTATCTTGTGAGGGTTAATTTTGCGAGACTGACAGTTTGTTTTCACCACACATTTTTAACAAATACAACATAGACACATTATAAACATGCCCTTTAAACTACTTTAAAATGGCACATGTGTTTAGATACCTTAAAGCACTTAAAAATATTTATTCCATGCAGCTAACACTCTAGTTAACTGGGAGGAAGACGGTATTGCAGAGTTTCCATTATATCTTCTTTCAATTCAAAGCGCACACAAACACACACAAGCAGAGGCTTCCAATGACAAATGAGATGGGGGAGGGTTCAGGCCAAGCTGCTGTTCTACCATAGGTTTTCCACACACACACACACACACACACACACACACACACACACACACACACACACACACACACACACACACACACACACACACACTGGAGTGTTTTTCTTGGAATGTGCCATTAAATCTGTGATGCGGTATTTATTCTCGGTATGACTGCAGTTCTTGATAATGCTATGACCCCTAAATTCTTAAAAACTGAAATGATTACTTAGACACAGTGGAAAGTAAAGGGTAATGTGAGCTCCATTAGTACCATATCAACTGCGGAAGAAATAATATTTGTTTTTCCGTTTGGTGCCGTTTTAGGAATCACATCTTTAAGAAATCCTCTAAAATACATCCAGTGACACGTTCTGCTTCGATGCTGCCATCTGCTGGTCAGTAAGTGGAACACTCACAAATAATCACAGGCCACAATGACAGCTGATATAGTGCGTGATATACTGTAAGTGTATGTTGCGACTGTCTTGTCCAAAATATTTATGTGATTTGAGTAATATTCCATGGAATAGGTAAGGTTTGGTGATATAAATAGACCCACATATAACGATTAACATCAAATAAATGTATATTCAGAGTGCATAGGTTATGTGGTAAATATGTAAAATACTGAACATACAAGACATTATTAAATAGATAATCGTATGAATGAATACAGACAAATATACAGTATATTTGACAAAGAATGTAAAATAATAAGATTTCATTTTTTTGTCTACAGTAATTAAGTTCTCCCCTCAGTGAAAAGTGGCAGTATAAAATAAAATGTTAATGGGGGGAAAGGCTGTGTAAATAAATGGTAGAACTTAGAAAAAATACTACTTTGAAACTCCAGGAACGAAATAATGGAATAAACTCAGTTATTGTGAAAATAGAACAGCATAATTAAATTAATTTTCGGTAATTTTCGATGATTTCTAAAAATCTTACGTAACATCGCAGTTGTATTAGATTCTGATGTCAAAATCTATATAATTATTGATTTCATTATTCCATTTATTTCAACATTTCAGATCTCATTAACATCTCCGATGATCACATACATTCATTAGTTGTTAAAAGTAGTCAAACTTCAAAGTGACTTAAGAATAGTGTGTTTAAAAAGAAACCAACAAACCCGATCCGATTACACCACAAAGGAATCCCATTCACTCAATGTTTACAGTCAAAGTCATCCATCATAACAAAATACCCATATGCAGCCCAACGGGGTTATTCAGTGATGGCCATTCAAATATAATCAAAATATAGAAATAGAAAAATAGAAAAAGACACTTACGACTTGCTGTGAATCCAGTGAACACAGACTGTCCATCCGTTTCTCTCCTGAGCGGCTCCCTGGTCCATGTGGTCCACGTGGGGAAGACGTGGGACACGTCCAAACAAGCCCCACACTCTGTCACACCCCACAACCCTGTGCTCCCCAAGCATGTTGGGTGTAGCCTATACAGCCGTGTCCATTCAAGTCCTAAAAGTTGTCATTACAATCAAGTTCAAACCTACAGTTTCAGAGAGTATAATAATAAAAATAACAATAATAAAATGCATTCTGACCAGAGTTACAATGTTACAATGTTAACAAGGAAAAGGGGATGAAGAAAATAACGTTGGCCTATATAATCATATCATGTGAGATGAGTGAGAAAAACAGAGTTAGGCTGTAACAGGCCTGCTGTGTTCGCCTGTCACCAGTGGCGGCTGGGGGAACATTTCATTTTAAGTATCCATCTGTCATTTTTTTTAATGCAAAGGTATCAAAAACGCATTACTGCGCAATATGATGAATATTCAACATTTATTGCAACACAAAAAATTGTTGTAAATAAAAGTTTAACGATCTTATTTGTGTCACCCTCACGCGCAATTCAGCATATTATCTATCTATCTCTATATAGATCTAGCTATATTATGTATCTACCTATATCTAGATACATAAGAGAACAGTGTCCCCGACAAGAGAACGCGCGAGCTTGGGGCAAAACCAATGTTGCCCCAGTCGACCCGTCGCCCTCTATTGGCCGGCCAATAAAGGGCGACGTCCTGGACCAGTTTGATTAGCGTCGCACGGAGCGTGCAGTGCTGCATTAAACTGACTGCTCAAATGACGCTGCGGAGACAGGTCAGCGCGGACCGTGTGACATGCGGACGCAGTTACTGCGACGTTACTACAACTAGAAACATTGGTTATTTAAAAAACACACGAGAAAAGCCTAAATGCGATCTGACCAGCGGAGGCCTCTTCATCTATATCAGCTCTGCATGAGTGTGTGAGGATTAATGTCATAACAATTCATAACATTTATTCCTCGTCTTACAACGATTGAAATTGGTAGAATTGACCAAAACTGCTTAAACATTTATCTATGCTTGATCATGTAAGTCTAACGCATCAGCATCAAGGCATTGCTGTCCGATCTGCAGAGCTCCCTAAATTCAGCCGTGTACATTTCTGTTAAGTTATTCTCTGCACAGTCAAAGACGTGTGTGTTGGGGTTTCTTTTTACATAATGAAGGAGGCGTCATCCCTGATGGGCCTCAGGCCGGAGCGCGTTCAAGTCGACAGTAATGAGTAGTAACTCGTGACCCCCCCCACCCCACCCGGCCCCCAGGTTTTAAGCCGCGCCGGACCTTAAAAGATGCTCTCTCACCGCAGTAATCTCTCCCTCTGCAGCTTGTAGTCGTAGTCGTAGCGTTAGATGCCGCGCTTGCAAGCAGCCTCGGCCCACCTTTAAATATCTGTAAGCTTGTCAGAGCAAAGAAACTTATGACTCTTTGGGAGACTTGCTGATTTCACTCCATTGACTCCAACGACCATGAATAAGAACCTGCAGAAAAAGAGGAAAGATTTTATACCTTACTTTTTAGGATTTGTTATATTTTTATATTGCGCGGTCCATCTTGTATCATTTACAGCAAAGACAACAAAGGAAACCCATTCCACCAGAGTGCGCCGGGCTCTCGGTAAGAACCAGCATTGCGTCTGGATTTTCCTTATTTCATGAGTGTGTTTTTTGTTTATGAATCTAATCTATTCTATTCCAATCCGTTTAGTGTGTCACTATAAATGTCACAGTGTGAGGAATCAATTGTGGCTCCGTAATCCTCATGTCTTATTGGCATGAAAATACCGTGTAACCTCCATTAAGAGCTCAAACATTCCGCTGCTGTTTGGGGTGACGCTTTTTGTCAGTGACGTGTGTGTGTGTGTGTGTGTGTGTGTGTGTGTCCTGCTGTTTCAGAGAATGAGACTGAATGCATCTCGGCCCAGTCCTCCGAGTTCCCCGACGGCTTCTTCACGGTGCAGGAGAGGAAGGACGGAGGGCTCGTTATTTATTTCATGGTTATTTTCTACATGCTTCTGGCTGTTGCAATAATCTGCGACGATTACTTTCTGCCTTCCTTGGAAGTGATCAGTGACCGTGAGTGGCACATCGTTGCATCATCGCATGGTCTGGAATGCTGTGGTATAATTATGGGAATAATGAGGATTTGTAAGATTTCTACTACAAGCAAAGGATCCGAGTGTGCAGATGCTGTAGAGCTTTTAAGAAAAAGCTGCTGTGAATATGTGGACAGAATTAGCAACAGTCTGCAATATGCGTTGTTTGTTTAAATGCTTGAACAAGTATTCATATATTATATATTTTAATAAAAGCAAATAACTTTCACAAGCCTGTGATGTGGTGCTTCCACCTGCCTCATCATTCAAATCAACTAATGATTCATTTCTTTATCAACTCGTGTGGGCTGTGGTCACAAAATAATTAAGTTCTGAGAGTCCAAAGGGATATTTTTCACTTCATTTTGTTTTGATTGACACACACACCAAAGTACTGTCACTTCATGATTATATAAAACCGAGAAAAGAAAATCCTCACTGGAAACAGCTAATATTCATTATTTTTGAATGATGTAATGGTTGTAAACAAGCTGTAAACGTAACTAATAAAATTACAGGGTTTGGACCGATAAACACGCATGACCATACTTCAGTCATGGCATTAAAATACACATTACACATCAGACGCATCAGTTGTCTTTGCCTGGTCACATTAGGAGTCATTTGTGCTGTTGTTGCATTGGGCCGTCTACAATCGGGTGCTTCCATTGTTTTGTGTAGATTGCATTTTAGTCTTGATGCCTTTCGTGTGTCTCTCTCAGGCCTGGGACTGTCTCAGGATGTAGCAGGAGCCACGTTTATGGCCGCTGGGAGTTCTGCACCTGAACTGGTCACAGCCTTTCTGGGTAAGTATGCAATGTCTCCACGTTGTCCCCCCCCCCCGTCCCTCGAAGCTAAAACGGGCCTTTCTACTCGTGCCAGGTGTGTTTGTGACAAAGGGAGACATCGGGGTCAGCACCATTGTGGGGTCAGCGGTCTACAACCTGCTGGGAATCTGCGCGGCGTGTGGACTCTTGGCCCCTCTGGTACATTTACGAAACACTCACACTCTCACAAAGGTTGACTCTACGTAAGAGCTGCACCTTTTACTGGGTCACAGCGGAACAACCATTGCACAACTTGTCATGTAAGCTTATGAAACACGTGTTGTTGTTTCCTCTATCAGGCCGGGCGCCTCACCTGTTGGCCGCTGTTCAGGGACTGCTTGGCATATGGCATCAGTGTTTCTGCCGTTATTGCCATCATTTCCGATAACAAAGTCTACTGGTGAGTTTGAGTGCACGTCGCGATCTGCTTGATCTTCAGACCTTACAGCACCTACATGTAAGAGAGGGGGGGGGGGGGGTGTAAAAGTCAATCAGAAACAGCCATTTATTGCCTCACGGGACGCTAAAAATAAGAGATGAAAACAGATGTACAGAAGTACTTTGCTGTGACTCAGCTGACATTTATTACGCTGGCAGTACAGCTGTATGAATAATCATTGAATAAGACACCGTCCCACCATAAACACAGCGAGGGCAGTGGCAGTCCTTGGCATTGACTTTGGTAAGAGCACGATGACACACAGATTTAGCTTCTAGATATGAAGTTTCATAAACGCAGAACCCATCTGTTTATGTTGTAAAATGAAAATGTATCAAAACCAAACGTTACTAAATACTAAGCGAAAATGTACTGGTCTGAGGGAGAAACCTAGTTATTTTTAGGTACTGAAGTACTGAAGTAAAAAGTAAAAGCAAAAACTGCTAAATATCAGCAAATCTAGAAGAGCAGAGACTGAAGTTGTGTGTTGTATTTGTAACTTCTCCATTGCAGTGCATATTAATGCTATAAAAGCCAAAATAAATCAAATTCACCAGCTTAAAATGTTTACGGCCATTTACAATATTCCAAAAGTGAGGTGCATTCGTTCAGATACTGCAAGCGCCTTTGATCATCAATAAATACAACTTGAAGCTCCGATGTCATCCCGTCTGCTGAAGTAGGCCTGTGGACATTGTTCCCCGCTCACATCCGTCCCCAAGGTGAAGAACGAGTGTCAAGCGATGGTTCTGCTTGCAGGTACGACGCCGCGTCTCTGCTGCTGATCTACGCCCTCTACATCGTGGTCCTGTGCTTCGACCTCCGCGTCAGCGAGTTCGTCCTCAGGAAGCTGAGCCCCTGCTGCACCTGTCTGGGCGGAGGCTCCGGCGAGAAGACCGAGACGCAGCCTCTGATGGGCTGGAGCGACGACACCAGCCTGCGGGTCCACAGTCGCTCCAGAGCCGACAGTGGGATCTTCCAGGACGACTCGGGCTACTCTCACCTGTCCCTCAGCCTGCACGGCCTCAACGAGATTCCTGAAGGTAAAAAAAGACAAACAAAAAAACCCCCCTGTTTTGCAGTGATTTCAACCTGCGTTCATCTTGTGGAACGCACGTGCTTGTTTGACCTCGATGTGCCCCCCCCCCTCCTCCCCTCCCCCGGCTACTCGCGTTCCAGCAGAGCACAAAAATGTGTTCGCCGTGCCGGAGAGCGACCTGAAACGGATCCTCTGGGTTCTGTCCCTGCCCATCATCACTCTGCTTTTCCTGACCATCCCCGACTGCAGGAGAAGGTTCTGGAGGGGATGGTTCATGGTGACCTTCTTCATGTCGGCGGTGTGGATCTCAGCCTTCACCTACGTCATGGTGTGGATGGTCACGGTCGTCGGTGAGATAGTCTTTTTTCTTCCATCATTCCGTGTTTGTGTTGTCTGCGTTTCTCGGCTTAGCTGCAGGTGTGTAAACCGTGTGCACCACGTCGCTGAGCTTTTGGAGATCACAAGTGTTTGACACCTGTGAGAAAAATGTCAGCCTCGCAGAGTCGAATCACATGGTGGAGACGGGTGTTATTGGGGCCCCACGGGGCCATGAGCATGACCGGGATTACGGCCGGCTTCACCCTTGAGGAAGCAGTCATGTGAGCCCCGTGTGTGCGTTCAGAGGAACCCACAGGCACCGGTCCAAGCGGGAAAAACTGAGCTAGGATCAGCCCAACAGGGGAAGCCTCATCATGTGACGTTGGCGGCTCTGCTGGAGCATAAAGAGAGTATTTATCTTGTAGTTGGCAGACATGTGGGGGGGGTTAGTCTCATGAAAGAGCAGCATGGGACTGAGCAGGTACAACAAAACATACACTATGCTATTCACAATCCTCAAAATGTTCCCCCCACAATCAGACGAAGGTTTGTGTCCTCTGTAATATGTCTGCAACTTACACATACTACACCGGTTGGGTATCATGAGGCCGCGTTCCAATGTTCTTGGACTAAATTTGCTTAACTTAACACATAATGTAGAAGAAAACATCAGCAGCACATTGTTGAGTTGGGTTCTAACAGTGGCCGTGGTTCAGCTGGTGGAATTTGGTTCTTGGAACCAGAGTATTTCTAAAATCCAGCCTGATTATCTGTTAACACCACGGCAACAGTGAAAATCAGCTGCTGTTTTCATCACCCCGGTGCTCCATGTTGTTGCTGGATGTGGACTTTGATTTGAGGGATCCGGGACAGATGATGTCGTACGTGTAAAGATCGTATAGCCGCCTGAAGCAAATTTGTAATTTCCTTAATTTTAGGCCGATGCAAAACAAATGGGAGTAAAACATTGAACTGATTGTGTTCTTAACATATTTCTACACAGGCGAGACACTCGGCATTCCCGACACAGTGATGGGACTCACTCTCCTTGCTGCTGGAACCAGTATCCCCGACACCGTCGCCAGTGTGATGGTGGCCAGAGAAGGTAAACATCAGTGTCACGACTTGTCAGCTGCCATTCCCTAAATATAGTCTGGTAGCCGGGACAGTACACTTGAGTTTGCCATATAAAAGGGCCAATCAGCTCTGCAGAGTCTGATTAAAATGGTATATTTGCCATAATGTTGGATTCCTCTAAAAAGTGGCGGACTCGCTCCCCTTCATGAGTCCCTGGCGTTTCCCTGTGAGGACGGCCATAACAATATTGATTATTAAAAGTAATGTGCCACCTGAGCTCTTGCTAAAAGAGATTTAAGTGGGAACTATTGATTATTTATGCACTTTGCTGACCCCCTTTCCATTAGCCATTTTAGAAATGACGAGAAAAATAACAAAAGGACACGCATGTCGTCTCAGTGAGACTGGAATCCAGCCGGTGAACGTGTTTTCTATTCATCAGGGAAAGCGGACATGGCCATGTCGAACATCGTGGGCTCCAATGTCTTCGACATGCTGTGCCTGGGCCTGCCCTGGTTCATCAAAACCGCCTTTGTGGACACCAACAACCCGGTGGAGGTCAACAGCACGGGGCTGGTCTTCATTTCCGCCACGCTGCTCCTCTCCATCGTCTTCCTTTTTGTAGCCGTCCACATTAACAAATGGAGGTTGGACTGGAAGCTGGGACTTGTTTCGCTCTTCTGCTACATCGTCTTTGCCACCCTGTCCATCCTCTACGAGCTCGGGATTATTGGGAATAATCCCATCAGGTTGTGCAGTGACTGAGATCTGACCTCACCAGCTGGCCGAAGCCACAATGACTCAAACAGCGACGGAACGGTGGAGTCTAAGGAAACACGTTCCCGCTCTCACGCCATCAGGGTAATCGTGCCACATGAGACGTGTGCTGGTCACATCTCATGGAGATCATCTCCAAGTTTCCATGACCGACGAGGCGGAGTAAAGTAATAAAAGGTGTCAACTAAACTTTTATCCTTGTTCTTTTTAAGTGGGTCACTTAGGGGGGGAAAGATCAGGTCTATACAACACAGAGCTCAACTGATAAGCTTATATGAGCAAGACTTTATGGTTTGCCAGGAAGAAATGAGCAACAAAAAAAACTTTCCAGTTGTCTTTATCTAACGGAAATATGATAAAATGGGATGACAAAGGGATAAAATGCTATGTTCTTGGAGCTGTGGCCCTTTAAAAAGCTTCCTCCAGGCCCGTGTGCGTTCTGACTCACTTGGTTAAAGCCTTAGTGGGCAGTGACCCTTGGGCCGCCACTGAGCGTCAGTGTTGAGCAACGATGGAACTTACAATTCTTCCTAAACTTTGATCAAAAGATTTAAGATTTAAAAAAAAAAAGAAAAAAGAAAAAAAAACCACCAAGTTTAAAAATTAAAAAGTTTATTCATCCAAATAAAACTTGCTGACAAGGTTTACAAAAACAAAGACATAAGAACTACGCAGTATATATATATATATAAACAAAACAAAAAACTGTGGCCACATGGAGATATGAAATAATTGTGTTTTTAAAACAAAACAAAAGCTCGTAGGCAAAGGGGCTGAATGTGGAAGTGTGTTAGCGTGACGTCTGCAAAAAAAACTCTAGGCGTTGCGATCGATGCGGACGTCCACCTCTCGGCCGTTGATCTTGGTTCCATTCATCATCCTGCAGGCCTTCTCAGCACTTTCCGGGCAGTCAAATCTCACCGTCCCACAGCCCTTTGACTTCCCGTTCTCCTGCTTGATGTCGGAGAACATCACCTGGCCTGCAGCAGACAAGGTGGAGCAATGAAACAAATGCAAAGATTTTTCATTATGAAATGTCAAGTTCTTTGAGGGCTCCTAACACTTGCACTAAAGATTGAATTCACAATAAACCAAAAACTCACCGCAGTGACTGAACTTCTCCTTCAGCTTTTGCCACGTCAGGTCATAAGACAGCTGCAAATCACACACACACACACACACACACGTACCCTCAAGTCAATACGTTTGTCAACATTACCTTTTTTGACAGGCAAAACTATGCCATTAAAAAGACGCATATGGTACAAATAAAACATTACGAGTCTGACAAGAGGGAAAATAGGCCGACAGTTAACAGCTTCCTGTGAACTGAAGCACCATCTCGTTTACCCAAAAGCACAAAAATCATAAACTGAGTCACAGAATCATTACCATTCATATCGATGCATGTCAAGCATGGCTGGTTAAACCCTTACTAAATACCAGGGCATCAAAGCGTAGAGAAAAGGCATCCGTCAATGAAATAGTCGTTAAATAATTGGGGAGCTACACAGCTCGTCTCTGCCGGCAAAGTTCATCACCCACACTTACATTTCGCACAAAGATCTGACAGCCTGCTTTGGACCCGGAGCCCCTCTCAGACATGCCTCCACCCATGTGACTCGGTCCTCCACCTCCATAGCCGCCAAAGCCGCGGTTCATGTCCATTCCCGACATGCCCATGCGGTCATAGCCGGACCCCATGCGGTCCATCGACATGTTTCCTATTCCACCACCTGCGATTAACAAGAGAAATACGGAGTAATTTGATACCGGCATATCGAGCGTTCCGGTTCATGTAAGTGCTGAAGGGCAGCTGACGTGGAGTAGAAACCAGAGGGTGTCCTCATTAATAAAGACACATCCAACAACATGAACACAAAGCACCACCACGCTGCCTCCATAGGAGGGGGCTGTGTTAGTTTTTTACGTACCCGCATGCAATACTATTTTAGTTTAGACCATATAGTTCATTTTTGGTGTAATTGTCATATACAGTATGGAGGAGGAATGGTAGTATTACTAATTATTAATCCATATTCATAATGAATATTGGAGACTGTTTCAATACAAACTCCACAATACCAATACGTTGTTAGCAGCTGTGCTTTTCTGCTCTCTCCGTCGGTGAATTAACACAAAAAAACTTAAATCTAAAATGTTATGATTTCAATGTTGTGTAAATATTTCCATGAGTGATTGAAAATGGCTTTGAATATTGATACGTTTTTCCATGTGTCACAGTCAAAACTTCCAGTATACGACAACACTAAAATGAATTTAACAAACTGTAAATATAATATAGAAATACCCATTCCAGTTCCCATGTGCCCCATTGCACCACCGCTCATGCCTCCTCCAAAACCTCCACCTGGGGAAGAGAATGCACGTCGGTTTAGATTACGCCCCAACTACAATATCCCCTCAGCAAACACAAAAGCAAACTACACAGAGGAACAGGCATAACCAGCACTGTGTCTGCACGGCCAGTATAAGAGGACTCAGGGAACCACTTACCCATTCCTCCGAAAGAGTCAGCGAATCCTCGATTCATCGGCATGTCACTGTGGCCAAAGTCACGCTCCATCCCACCCATTCCGGACCGGTACATATCTCAATAGAGGAGAAAAGAAATAACCTTAGACTGAAGTAACCAACGGCCCAAAAGGGATGACATCATACAGCTGAACCTCATCTCTGAGCAGGGAATACGCTCACTTACCTCCCATCCGGCCACCTGGCGCCATGTCTCTCCCTCCATAGCCACCCATGTTCCCCATGCTGTCCATGCCCCCAAAGCCCCCGCCACCACTCATTCCTGGCGAAAGCAGCACTTAGTTTGAACACGAATCTCTCCTTCCCTCAGCACAGGAAAGAAACTCAGACGTAGCAGAAGCCTTACCTCCTCCGAGCCGGTTCATTCCACCGTAACCTTGAGCATCCATGCCTACGGCGAGAGACGATGTCAGTCAGGCACAAAGTGTGTCCAGTTATATCCACTGGGTACGTATCCCAGGAAAGGCACTGGCTGAGGCAATTTATTTTGGCACAATGTTTGAAAAGATTTTTTTACAGAATAAATGTTCAAAGCAGCTGCTTTTTTTATGCTCACATGTTCTGATCTGTTTCTCTCCAATACGCATTTGCCTAAAGACAGAATAGTAAGTGTGAAAGCATTTCTGCACAAACATAACTGACCTCCAGGCCCCATCGAGCCGATGCTGCCGCCGCCGCCTCCTCCGCCTCCTCCTCCACCGCCGCCGAGACGGTTGGCATTTATAGGCTGCCCCCCTGGTCCCAGGCCCATGCCAATACCACCGAGACCCCCTACACACAAAATACACAAGAAGGTGACCGTTGGAACTGTGGGATTTACTCGCACAAATAAAAGTGGAAAACATAACTTGAAACAGACACACTCATTGAGACCTTTGTTCGTTTAATACAAAGTTGTTTACTGAAAAGGAAATGTGCAAAAACATATTTTCCCCATTCTTGTTTTGGATGTATCAGCGGTTTTGTGAAAGTGCTTTGAGTTGAAGCAGATTCCCACTGTATAGTCTGCTTGTTTATGGATAGAATGAACAGAGGTCGGATGTCAGCACTGAAAATGAACACTTGCTGCACCGAAACCGGATGTAGATCTTGAAAAAAATGTGACAAGTGAATAATTAATATCTGGTCGACCCAACAGCATTGTCTGTGTGCCGTTTGATGTTAAATAGGCCAGGAGCAGTTCATCGTCCATTCTTTTTAGTTGGCGCAGCACTGATACAGTGTAGCAGCATTTAGCAATATAATAAAAATACAATACCAACTGCAGCTTTGCAATCAATAAAAAGGGTTTTATCTGCGTTTGTGGGAGACACTGTTTAATACAATAACAAACGTGGCCTCATAAAACCATGCCACGAATTTCTTATTTAAGGAATGTTTAACTGCAGTAACCATCGCTGCTTATGAGATCACACCTTTAAGAGTGAAGCTGCTCGCGGTTGAAAGATAAGATGAAGAGGCCTTCAGCTATCATACTTTCATCAGTATACTAAGAATCCCTGGGCCTTTTAAACATCACTGTAAAATATCATACTTTCATTGGTACTGAGAATCCCTGGGCCTTTTAAACATCACTGTACAATATCATACTTTCATTAGTACTGAGAATCCCAGGGCCTTTTAAACATCACTGTACAATATCATACTTTCATTAGTACTGAGAATCCCAGGGCCTTTTAAACATCACTGTAAAATATCATACTTTCATTAGTACTGAGAATCCCTGGACCTTTTAAACATCACTGTACAATATCATACTTTCATTAGTACTGAGAATCCCTGGGCCTTTTAAACATCACTGTAAAATATCAATGCAATTTGAAAAACTTGTGCAATGTTCCTACAGGTAATCAAACAACCGTACTAACTATTTTAGTGGCACTTGCAATTCACTGAGGTCATTGCCATGGATAGAAGTTTGATGTCAACAACCAGCCGTAGGAAACAAGTGTACTCACGAGGTAACTGAGGTGTTTTTTCCACTTGACGGAAGTCATCAGGAGGAACCGATTTCTCATCCTGTAAAGCCACAAAACCAAAATGTCAAAATTCGCTCTCACGTCCTCTTCATCTCAAGTTACATAAAAACTCAAATTAACATACCATTTTAACGTGCATCTGTCTGTCGAATAACATCTGTCCATTGAACATGGCTGAGTCCAGAGTTAAGAAGAAGACCACGGTCAAATTAGAAGGGATCACTTTGTGTGCAAGGTCTGTGATCTCTCTCGTTTTCGTGGTTCGGTGCCACTCGGAAGGATACATATTGCCTGCACAGCCTCGAGCGGCTGCTCGAAAGTCACTGTTCCCATCCCGCGGCTCTTGCCGTCTTTATCCTCCTTCACATCTGCTCGCTTCACCAGGCCGGCCATGCCAAACACCTCCTTCAACTTCTTCCAGCCCACCTTGAAATCCAGCTGTAAAACACACAGTGCTGCACTTAATCAACGTGAATAATCATCACTAACCAGATTTGGGTAATGTTTGCAGTATGTTCTCACATTGGCCACAAAAACCGTGGTGCCCAGTCGCCCGGCCTGCAGTGCATGGATGACGTCGGGCGGGAGGTTGGGGTTGTTGGCGATGGCAGGCGGGATGCTGATCCCACCCGGCCCCATGTCCTGCCCGCGACC